CTTATTCCAGCTAATATCTTTGCCGCAAACCGTGCTGCACCCTCGGTTGGCCAATCCTTATTGCGCTCACAAGTGTTTCAGAGATCCCATGGCCGATCCTTATGAAGTAGGGAAATACCCTAGTTGCAATTACTGATGTGCTTTGAGGGCGTCTGCAATCGCTGATGCAAGAGTGACTGTTGTTATCTGAGAATCAAGTACGACTCCAATGTGATCTTAAAGTGCACTAACAGAAATAAACCTAATAAGAATACCATGAACATTTGCAAGCGGTCATATAATCTGTAACAGGATTTTTCGGGCTGTTTCTACACGCCTAGCATTGACATTTCAGCTGCTTAGCGCTACCAGTTTATCAGCCATCAGTTGCTCCAAGCCAACAAACGGTGAGAGGTATGGGGAAACCTTCCTGGCCTTTTCTAGGGCCCTTTTGGTCTAAGCAAAATCAGGGGAGGATTCTCTCTTTATGGGCAAAAATAAACGTTGGAGAGGAAGTTACCTTACCAGTGGAATCTACCTGTTAAAGATAATTAATATGGAATCGGTGGGAAAATGATACGTCTTTGTGCAAGTGATCGTTAATTCTTGGACTACAAAACCATATAGGCATACATTTCCTCAAAAATGTATGCCTAAATGGTTTTGGATACGCTTCAGACTACTGTGATCAAACTGGTATTGATGCTCATCGTGCTTTGATAGTAGATAAGTAATGCAAAAGTCAATTCTTCTTTCCTAGTGCTTCCCATAACTCCTGTAATTTGATCGTTGTTAAAAAAGCAAACATGGGTTCTAGCCTTTTTGGCCTTCTTAACAAAAAAAATTTCGAAATTCTTAGCGAATAAAAAGCTGGAGAAACTTTATTTGCACATCTTAGTATCTATTCAGTAAATCCAGTTGCACAGTGTTTGTGCCTAAACATGCACGACGAGTCACTCACAACACATTCTTGCGTAGTCAAATTTTGGGCAAGGTGTATTCCAACATTTTGTGAGAAACAGCTCACATTCGTGCAGAAAGCGCTGACTTCTCCAAGTCCTCACTTAGTTCATTAAACAAACGCAACCCGCATTAAGATCACGCACAAAAGCACTGTACGATGGTCGCCGACAATCAAACATGCTAACAGAGTTTGCGCAAGTAGTTAGGATTGACGCCAACTACGCAAAGCGTAATTTTGAGCTGCTGTTAACAGTTT